CCTCTCTCCTTTAAGGAATGAATGGGGACTGCAGGTCCAGCTGCTGCCCTCTCTCAGCACTGTATTTAGCTCTCGGTGATGTACACTCAGTTGCCTGCTTATTAGGTACACCTAGCCAAGGCTAGGGCAGTCTAATGCAACAGCCCTGCAAATAAAAAAAGTTCAGTTTCTTCTGAAACTAGTTTAGAGGGGTGTATAAGTAACTGTATGGCTATTTTGGAGGCTGCAGTTTGTGATGCTGTTAAATTATGCAGCAACATACTGAGAAGTGTGTCAATTTTGATCTTTAGCCCATTTATATCATTGAGGGTAGAATAATAAAGACAGTTCGATCTAAAATAGTTTCAACATAAACTGAACATTACAAGCTTCATGAAGATTAGATTTATTGCAGGTGTGTTGCACAAAGAACTGTAGCGGTGAAGACTGTTTGCATCCTCAGGCAGTGGATCAGTATGCAAACACTAAACAAAGTGAGTGACAGCATGCTGATGAAAGGCAAACTGATTAAAATCTGATAACTGCAAATTCAGTTTGCGTCATGCCAACAACTTCCCTATGCAAAACGCTCACGTATAAACAAATGCTACTGAGCATTTAACCACCGAACCGCTTCATTACAGGTGAAAGTTGCACAAAAAGGCAGAGAGCACCTTCTCCATTCAGCTGTGTCACACAGTGGTATCCTCCACAGTAACAGAATGTACTGTATGTAGGCTAGCTCCCCACTCCATTCCCTTCCAGCTCCCTGCTCTCAGCAACACAGCGCTGGGAGCCTTTTCAAAACATCAAGTAAGCTGTCAATAGCACTGCAGCAATGCATCGGTAAGCTTCCTGCACTCTCATCTCTCATCACTAAGGGTGCAGCATCTTGGGATTTCCTGTATAGTTTTCATTAATGCAACTACTGCGTGCAATTTCAAACAAACAAACAACTGTTTTGCTGTGGCTGTTAATCCTAGAACTATTGATGGCCAAAAACATTAGAGCAACTGAGCCATGCAGGGTGTGGGCTGTTCTTCACCTTTATTGTTACCTCACACGCGAAATGATGAAAAACAGGAAACCAGGGTTAACGTACAGTGTTTACAGAATTGAAACCACCGTTCAATCATGAGACAATTTTGTTGAGACATCTCTGGAATGCGGCAACGCATTATGCATGGCAAGCAACACACAAGCACACACATAAAAGGGCCTACACATGCCACTGGCTGCTGCTGATATGGAGCCAGATGCTTCTCTGTTTGCCAATAGGAAATTATTCCAGCCTGAGGGGTGTTGGGGTACTTGGGTGTGGCAGGGGAGGTTTGTGTTGTGTGCGTTTTCAAAAGGAGGTGGGGGTTGCCCCAGATGTCTGTTCCACAGAGCCAAGCACAGCACACCTCAACATCAGAGCGCCATAGACTGGCCCCTGACCTCTACCCTTTAACTCCTGCAGGACCACAACAATGAAGCTGCTGCAAGTAATACATCAAATTCGCCTACCTCGTTTCCTAAAAAACGGTGACATCCAAAAAGGTTCACACGAAAGGTCACTACCATCGTCATGTCTCATCTTTTAGTATGCAGAGCATGTGGGGGTGTTATTTGCTGACTCGACTGCTGGGAGATTCCTGATAATTAGATTGCTAATGAGCCGGAGGGAACAATAAGGGGACGTATGGGTCTGTGTCAAAGACATAGCACCTTTTACAGTGACCCCCACAGCAGGAGGCGGAGTGCTACAGCCCAGACCATTTGCAGGTACTCCGGCCTTTTCTATCAGAGGAGCTGGCTGACGAGACAAACCCAGCAGAGGGGATGAGAAGAAAGCCTTTAAAAGGCTCATGAATGGTCACCCTCAAATCCATTAGGAGTTTATTCAATTACCTGACAGTCGCTCTCTGAAGGCATGTGAAGAAACGTGACGTCTCTTAAAGCGGGGTCTCCTTTGAGGTGGTCGAATAATTGCATTTGGATTTGAAGAGTAACACACAAACGCGGCATGTGTGCTTAATGTGAGCTCCTATAAGCAGCGCTGGATACGCTCCAGTAGGAACCAATTTCCAACTTTTTACAAGAGAGAAATTTGACAACCGGCCACGGCTTGTTCTGAAACCCAAACAAGGCATCCAACTAAATAACCCCTGACATCCAAAACAAGTGCCATTTCTGCACAAAGTTCAGGTTTAAAACAAAGATCTCTTTCAGCAACGCAGTTCCTGACTGAATTCTCATTTCCCACCCATTTTAAATTGATTATTGATTTTTTTTTTTAAAGGACTCTGAAGACAGGCTTGCGTGCTTATCATTAACAAGCAAGCGCATTCTGTGTAATTTCATTTAGCACATGTGAGTCCTGTGCTTCCAATAAATGTGGGAAAAAGACACAAAGCAACTTAAAGATAGCTCAGTTTATCCACTAATAGAAATAAAACAAATCAGACACAGGTGTTAAAAATAGACTCATTTGCTTTCCTAAACTTGGAAAGCTACATGTATGCAAAGGTTTCCTCCCATAAAAGCAGGTAAGGGAAGTAAATGTCAGCATTAAATGGACGCACGTAATTATATAAAAAAAATGTTTCTCTCTAAGACTATGTACAGTGGATGAAAATATATTGATTACATTTTTACTCCTATCTATCCATGTTCTCACAAAATAATAAATCTACCGTATCTACCCTTCTTCCCAACAGCCAATTCAAGACCTGCAAGAAGCAAACGACAACCTTACAACGCAAACACAAACTGTAACCTGAGGGAATGTCAGAGTGACATACAGAAAAATGCCTGAACCGCTCAGCGACACGCAGCCACTGGTTTAATGATTTGTCTGCGGCTGGTGAATGATCACACAGCAATATCCTGTTCTGGCTAGTTCTCCGGGCCCCCCTGAGGCTCTGGCTGACATGATTCTGGCTTGCCCGGCTGCCACCGAAGCGCCAGCCAGCCGATCATATTGACAAGATCCGGGCGGCTGCCCTCATGCCTGATATGACCCAGCCAAGGACCTGTGGAATCAAACTCGATGAGGCAGAAGAATTACTTATTGAGGCCGCGAGGGAAGGGATGTCACTGCCAATGCATTTTGGTGAAACGCCGGGTGGAAGAGGAAGGAGAGGAGGGAGAGGAGGGAGAGGAAAGGGGTGGGTAATGTCACTAACGAAGCTGTGGAAAACAGATTTAGAAAACACAACAGCTGTATTTAGGGACAAACTGAATAGCTGGCATGGTCCAAAATTCCACAGTGCTTATGCAATGTAAATGTAGCCCATATATAATGTGGAGGGCGTTTCTTTACTCTTAAGTGAAGAGCATTCATTCATTCATGCATTTCCCATGCGCATCTGTGAAACGTTTAAGGGCATGTGGGAAAGACAAACGCTGCATAGGTTCAGGATTCAGGTTAATCAGGAACAGGGACTTTGATTAACAAGTGGTTGCTTGGCCTATAAAACCATAAAAAAAAAAAAAAAAAAAACAGAGACAAGAATGGCCACCACAATTTCCTGGAGCCCAAGGTGAAATCTTCAAATAGCTCCTTTTGTCTGACCCAAAGTCTAAAACCCAAAATATTCTGTTTACTACAATGTAGGGCAAGGAAAAGCAGCAACTTTTCACATTTGGGAAGCTGGAACCATCAAACATTTGTTTATTAGTTGTGATTAGAGTTGATTCAACAATCAAATAGGCAGAACGTATTTGATAATCAATTTAATCCTTCAAGTAATTTTTCCAGGAACAAACATTTGAGGGTTCCAGCTTCTCAGATGATCTCAAACGTAAGTCCTCAGTTTAGACTCTGGAATTAGACAAACTGCAGACTGATACATTCTGAAAATGATTGTTAGCTGCAGCCTTAGTTCAGTCTACTAACGCAACTGACAGTTCTTAAATATTGAGTTTACTATAATGCACGACAAGGAACGGGAAATATTCACATTTGAGAAGCTTAAATCATCCAACACCTAGCATTTTAATTTGAAAGATTGCCTCAAAATGGGGGCCTATTCACTTACTGTCTATAAACTCATGAAGTAACCGTTTCAGCTCTAATCAGAAGCAAAGCACAGACGAACCGGGCCTTGCGAAGGCACCCGCCTCGCCTCCAGTAGCTCGAAAGTCTGCACTTGATTTTAGGAGTCCAAGAAGGTCAAGAGAAGCAACACAGTGATGATGGTGTAGTTTGAATTATACAGCACAGAGCCAAGAGAGTCACACGGAGAGACACAGGACTTCAGTCAGCCGAGGCCAGAGGGCAAATGGTGAGACAAACAAGCAGCTCCATAACTTCTTATTACTCCCTGCAGTCCACGCATCTCCACACCGACGAAGACTAGACACGAATGCAGGTGAAAGGTTTATGAGCATCCACTGATGAGCCCCAGCTGCACCGGGCTGCCCTGCAAACACACAGCTAGACAGAACATTGCATGCTGCAGGCATCTGAAGGCAGACTGGATGCTCCAACTAGCCTTCCTATAAACTGTGGTTAGGTGCATATGTGCTTCAGTGCTGTCAATAATAAGGTATTTTGTTTGCAGCAGTGAAAGAGCACCCTTGATTTATGCACGCTAAAGGGTAGAAACCCCTGAATGACCTCTGGGTGCCAGAACGGCATTTTGAAAAGTGCAAGGGGAGTTTAATCTTTAAAAAGATTCGTGTGTGTGTGTGTGTGTGTGTACGGATGGTGGACACGTAATATTATATTCACCAGTTATGTTGCGCTTCAAGGACAGTTGACAGCGACTGCGTGGACTCTTTGCGCAACAAGTCGCCCGCTAACATCTTACTTCGTTTTTTTGTGTTTTTTTTTTGACGCAGTCCGGCTTTGAAACGTCGCGGGAAAGTAATATAAGTTTTACGCGCCGTCAAAGCGCAGAAGAGCTTAAAAACATATTTAATATACATTTGCTGTGTTTTGCCTTCTTTTGTGCCGCAGTGGGGGTTTTCACCGGGCTGCAGTGCAACAAGTGCAGCTGAGCTTGAAGTCCGCGACAGCACGCCTGAATACGAGCAGCGGGGGCACAGGGCTGAAATAACGTTTGAAGTTTTGAAGCAGAACAACAACAACAACAACAACAAAAAGAAAAGGTCCCGACGGTAATTTCAACAGTTCAACCCCCCCACTGAAGACATGTGGCAGTACTCACCGTGGGGGGAAGTTTTCCTCTGTGTCCCGGTGTGTTACGGAGATGAGCGTCGGTGCAGCAGCAAGCGTGACAAAGTTTGGTGTGTGTGTCTGTCTGTCTGTCTTCTCTCTCTCTCTCTCTCTCTCTCTCTCTCTTCTCTCTCTCTCCTCTCTCTCTCTCTCAGCTCGCCCTCGGCTCGGCTCAGCATTGGCGGCCGACTGATTCAAACCTCTCCGGGCTGTGATATCAACAGACAGGGAGGGTGCAGGGGTGCCGGGAGGGTGCAGGGTGCGGGGGAGGCGTGGTGGGTGGAAGTAGTAGGCACTCATCTTTAAATTACGTGCAGGTTGAAAGTACCCTGTTACCGTAAAAAAAAAAAAAAATAGAAAAAAATCACACAAAGTCAGGCATTTAAAAAATGTACTGGAGTAAAAGTACAGAAGCAGAGCACCTGGGGTTTAAGTGCTCATAACGCAGAATGGGACATTTCAGAATAATGTATTTTAGTATTCGCAGCGGTGGAAGAAGTATCATATCTTTTGCTGCAGTAAAAGTAGAAATACTGTAAGTAAAAGTGCCTAAACATTGCTCTTAAGGACAGTAGTTGAGTAAATGCACTTACTTTCCACCACTG